GATATGACTACATTGACGTGTATTTGGCCCATTCGGACTGTCGTCCAGATGTGCAATCGCTACACGTAATATTTACTCCCCATCAAAAGTCATATGGCATTGTACACTTCCGTGCTTCAATGTCATAGACTCAGGGTTAAGAGTCTTTATTAAAATATTATAATAAAACAAACCTAGTAATTCTTTACGACATGTTTGAACTATATTATTGCATTATTCAGATAATTTCATAACTAAAATAAAGTAACATTAATTAATTATACTAACAAAAAAATGTTTTCTTAAAGTGCATGCAATTTAAACTTGTTATTTATTCTTATAAATACAATGTTCTCAAGTTTGAAACGAATTTTATTTGTCTTGATAAAAATTTTAGGACTTATTTTTTTATTTTTAATGCATTTTTTAAATCATGGTGTTAGGTACAAAATATTTTAATAGCGTAGAACACATTTTTAAGATAATGGAAGTTATTTATAAAGTATGAAATACAAGCAAGAATTTAGAAACTTGTTAAAATAAATAATTTAGTTTAAATGATAATAGTTAAGTTTAGAGATGTTAAAATTTTATATACACTTTAGATATTTATTAAAATGGTGAGATATTAAAAATGAAACAATGAATTAAGCTAAACTATAATTATATGAAAAAAAAATATTAACAATAAACTTTATGAAGAATGGGCCTATGATTGAGACAAGTTAGTTAAAATTTTAATTAATTACTAGAGAAATTAACAATTTTGAAATAAATTTGAAAGAATGAAACATTTTTTCGTGATAAATTTTGTCATTATTTAATGATAATAATGATAATATATATTACAATCATAGTCAAAATTACATAAATGTTGACAGAAAAGACTTGAAGACGAAAAAGAGGATAATAATTATCTTTATAAAAGGAATTTTTGACTTCATACATTTAATGGTGTGACTTGAGCTCGACCCATTAAAAGGAGGCCATCAAGATTTGGTGCTCTTTCTAAGAAGGCTTCAAAGAATTTCTACGTCTTAATAGAGTCAGTTGGGAAGAGAAATTAAAGTTGACATAGTGTCGATCAATATAAGATAGCTAAGAACATGATAAACCTAATTTTTTTACTTTATAGTTTTAGTGTGGGGAATTGACTATCTTTTGGCTTGAAAAGTATTAAAAAATATAATAAAATGTTTATAGAATTTCATCAATTTATTATTTTTATAATTAATTCTAATTTTAGGAAAAAAAATAGAATATAAGAAAATCTTGGTTGAGAATGACCAACTAACCCAACCTGAAGTCCATAACAAAGAACTTTGTGTGTACACAAGAAGAAAGAAAAACCTTGAGCGGATGGAAGACGACTTCCAAGGACAGAGAGCTCAAACAAAAACATGAGCTTGTATTCACCTGAAACTTTGGGTAAGGAGTCTTGTGCTCATGAGTTATCCCCATTCTTTTTCGATGCTAGTAACAAGGAAGGATGCATTAAATATCCAATTCCAGAGTACTTAGCTTATGGGAATCTATTCTCATCCAACAAAACTTTTATTTTTAACCTTGATAGTATGAAGATTCTTAAATTCATTCACGAAACTCTTGAAAATCCAAAATAGAGGAAAGCAGTTGAAGAGGAGACTCGAACATTAAAACATAATGGTAAATGGATTATTCTTACTAAACCCCTTTAGTAAAAGAAGCTGGTTTGGTGTAAATGGGTGTTCAACATCAAATGCAAAGCTGATGGGGGTATTGAGAGATTCAAAACCATAATTGTTGCAAAAAATTTCACTAAAGCTTTTAGGATCGACTATTAGGAGACATTCACGACAATTTACAAACTTAACACTATCAAAGTTCTCCTTTCAGTAACAGTTAATAAGGAATGAGGGCTACATCAACTTGACAAAAAAAAAATGAATCTTCTTGAATGGGGATTTAGACGAAGTGTATATGGAGTATCACCAGGAATTGAGAATGATTCCAACAAACCCCTAGCATGCAAAATCAAGAAATCTCTCTATGGGCTTAAGTAATTACCAAGAGTTGTTTGAAAGGTTTGCTAAAACCATAAGATTTAATGGGTATTGTCAAATTCAAACTAATCATACTATTTTTGTAAAATATTCTTAGGGAGGTTATATTGTTGAATTGATAGTATATGTAGATTATATGATTCTTACTGGTAATTATGAAAGACCGATTCTCATCAAAGAACTAATTTCCATGGAGTTTAAAATCAAGGACTTATGAACCACGAGATATTTTTTTGATATGGAGGTGGCAAGGTCTAGGAAATGCATCGTTATATCACAAAGGAAATACATCTAGATCTACTAAAGGAGAGGAATGATTGGATGTAAGCCTACTGATACTCCAGTGGATCATAATCAGAAATCAAAGTGGGGAGAAGAAAGTGTCTCTGTTGATAAGGAAGGATATCAAAGATTAGTAGAAAAACTCATCTGTCTGTCACATATGCAGATATTGGATACCCTGCTAGTATTATGGGTCAACAAATGAATAACCCAAATAAATAGCACTTGGATATGGTGTACAGAATTCTGAAATTTCTCAAGAAGACTCTTGGTTATAAATTAATTGTTAAGAAAATTAGGAACATAAATGTGAAATTATACATTGATACTAGTTGGACTGAAGAACTCATTGACAGAAGGACCCACCATATGTTATTACTCTTATGTATAAGAAAATCTAATGACATGGAGAAGTAAGAAGCAAGCGATTGTTTCTAGAATAAGTGCAGAATCAAAATATAGAGCACTCGCCTTGGGAATTTATGAAGGAATCTGGATTCATAAATTGTTAAGGGAACTAGGATGTACCTTTAATAGGCCAATATATATATCTATATATATATATATATTGTGACAGTAAAGCAACTATCAATATTTAGCAAGAAACTAGTACATCATGACAAGACTAAGCATATTTAAATTGATCGACACTTCATTTCTTAAAGGATTAACAAAAGAATTATACAGCTAAGCTACATCTCAACACACCAACAAGTTAGTCTTCACCAAATCTTTTCCTTTAAGCACCTTCTCAAAGTTCAATATTAAGTTTGGTCTACAACATCTACAACTCAACTTAAGAGTGTTGAAATCAGAGAAGAATTTGAAGAAAATTTGAAAAGATCATAAAATATTTGATTGGGACAACTTAAAAACTCTTGCTTAGTTTATCACTTTCCTATTCTATGTTATTTTATTTCTTATTTTAAAATTATTTTCTTTCCTAGTTTAGATTAGATATTTAGTAAGTTTGTAAATTAGGAGGGGTTGTTTTCCCTCTATATATGTACCATACATGTGAATAATATGGATCAAAAGAATTATTCCTCTTCAAACCTTTTTTCTATAATAACATAATATGGATCTCCTACTCAGTATATAGCAAAATGATTAAAATCGTTTTCACCAATTTCCATGCCACAAATCTTTAATAAAATTTAATTTTAAATAATTTATTTAAAAACATTTTTCATGTAACATTAAAAACTATTAGCTAAATTTATTAATTTTAAAATAATACAATTATATTGTGAACTCTTGTGTGATAATAATATGTTTTTAAAGGTCAATTAAAGTGAAATAAGAATATTTTTTCTAATGCAATACAATCAGACAGGTTTAAAATACAATCTCAAACTATACGAATAACAAATAAAAATTCAAGGTTTATTTAGAGAAATACCCTAAACTTCTTGAAATTCTAAAGAAACACTTGGCATAAGCGATAAACATAGTGGAAGGCTTCATTTATAAAGGCCGGCCATGCAATAACTATAGCTAAGACTCCTGAATTGCATCACTTATGCAAGGCGATCAAATTTTTCACCTCATATAACTATATAACAAATGTTAATAGAAATAAGATGATGAATAACATTAATATACACATTATAAACACATTATTTGGGCTACCATGCAATCCTAATAGCTCATCAACTAATTTTCCAAACATTTTTTTTATGACACAATGTACCAGCCTTCTAACGCACTTGAAGCGTAGTCTAGACTAAAGGCACATGGGTCTGTTTGGGGCAGCTGCAGCTTATCCAACTTATCCAGATAAACAGCTTATTCTGATAATCTGTTGATCAGCAACTTATCCTGATAAACTGACTGATTGTTTGGTTTGTGCGTTTGAAAAACAACTGATTCAGATAAATAACTATTCTGCCCCTGTTTTGGATAAATTGTTTAACTGTTTGTTTTGTGCATTTGGAAAACAATTGATTCACAGCTTTTGCTGGATAAATGACCAATCTGACACGTAGTTGTTGGACTGTTTGCAACAAAACATCAATGGCTACATCAAAGCCTCATGCAAAAACAACAGGTCATTTGGACGGTAGCGTTTTCAAAAGCACCACTACCATGAATAAGCTGCCCCAAACGGGGTTGTTTGAAAATAGAAGAAACAATTCAAGACGTAATGAAATTCATCAATTTAGCAATCAACATTAATTTCAAATATCACTCATTAAAATTTTCTAAGACATTATCTAATGATAAACAACCAAATCAGTCCAATGAGTTGAAATGGGATGATTTCATCAATATAAAGAATGCATACTCCTATAACATTATCCAGCACATAGGTTGTTATCAACTTATATCCAGTCCCATTAAGACATATGACCTCCCTCCTAGTGTCACTTGATGACTAAATTAAGCCCAAACAAGTTACTTGAACCTTACATGAGCCGGAACTTGAGCTAAACCCCAATAAACCCTACAAACCCTCCCCAACACAAATCAAACTCATTTTTACTCGAAAAAAGTCAAGGTGTCGAGAAAAGATAATCATTAAATTTCAAAAATACTATGCAACAAAAACTATCAATACCATATAAAACTCTTCAATGCCCTATTGCTTAATCAACAAGGGGGACATAAACAGAAAATTTGATAGGTAGATAGAATCAAAATGAGATTAAAATTAGATCAAAATGTTTCAAACTGATATTTTAAACTTGCTGAGAAATTTGGCATGTAAACATTAAATTATATTCCAACTATGCAATATGTGACTAAACTATTTCCTTGAGCTTTCAAAAACACCAAAATTATAAAAGATCGGCGTTTCCATGAACAAAGTTATAAGTTATACAAGTCATCCGCACTTTTTTCTTTTATCAAGGCAAAGAAGCGAAACCATCAGCTCAAAGGAGAGCCCCATTACTGATATTTAAGACATTTCCACCAATACCAAAGACTTCCAACAGATAACAATGAACTTTCAGCAAATAAAGTGTTGGTCCTGATGATAAAACATATAATACATTTTAATTATAATTAAATTTTCCTCTTCTAGAAAAGTAGAATAGATTGCTAGACATAGATTCAAGAGGATAATTCTAGTGGAATATTTTATGAAAATCATGCTAACAATACCTTATTGAAGTTGTCCTATCGGAAAGTGTACTTCACAAAATTGCATTGAATTTCCATTTTTTCCCCTCTCACAACTATCTCGTAGCAAGTTAGCATAGAGTTCAAACATATCGATGAAAGGGATAGTTGATCTTCTCTCAATCCTTACATATGCCTTGGTTTGCTATCCTGCAGGAATAAAGGCATTTGAAGAGATGAAACATCCATATATGGGAATAATTTCATATAAACTTCTATTTCAATGGGCTTGACTTAGTGTTGGAACTCAACTGAACTATGACTGTTCCAGGAACTCCAGAATTATCTGCCTTTCCAGCAATGTGAGATCATCTTCCTCTATCAAACGCTTTCGCAGTGCTGTAGACTTGGAATCAGTATCAGTGCATGGGACCTGCAAAGATGTGCAGGAAGAGTAGATTCCTATGTTTGTGACCGGAAGAAAGCAAGTTGATGAGTCTCATATATTAGGCAGAATTCCTTACACAAACGTAGTTATTGACATGACCATCCCCTTGTGGACTTGTCATTAACTCAGAAGTATTACAGATCCATTCACCATCTACTATGTACTTATACTCATAGAGCCCTTCCTGTAGGCAACATACGATCAGCATGATGTATTTGGTGTATAATTTATAAAAATCTTTATGTATCATCCGCATAACAATTTGCAAGTTCCAGCAAATAAAGGTCAAAGAAAGATCAATTGTGTGAACCCAGATGCAGACACAACCCATTGAGGAGCAAAGTGGTACTATTCGAACCGCCAGCCCCCAACAAGTCAAAGTCAACATTGATGGGGTACTTCTTGATAATTATCAAGCCAGTATTGGAGTAGTTATCCGTGATGAGAAGGGCGAACTCATTGGGGTGTCTGGACATCAGATGAAATATTGGGATAGCTCCCTGTTGAGAGAGAGGCGATCCTGTTCCTCAGATCCTCATTGAAGCATGGATGCTTGAAACAATGGGAATCGTTATTGAAGGTGATGATGCAACAGCACTGGACTCATTCCGGAGCAGCATGGACTCAATGATGTGGAAACATCATCCCGCCTTCAGCCCCGACGTTACCTTCCTAACTGACTTCAAACAGGTCCTTTTCTTGTTTGTGCATAGAAATTGTGACAAAATGGCCCATTATCATGCTCCGCATGCTTTACATGGATCTGCTTTTGGCATAGTTTAGATAGTGACCCCTCCTTTTTGGCTAGTTTAAGGGAGGAGATGGCCAGTTATGGCAGTGCTGGTAGGGCCTAGAAAGCCACTTTTGTGTTTTGTACCCCTTCTTACTTTTCCGAAAGAACAAGGGGGGTTGGAGAAATTCAACAAGAACAACAAAGAAAGCAATCTGAGACGGGAAAAAAAAACGAAGAACAAAGAAGAGATGTGTTAATCAAATAAAAGATATCAGAGGGGGTTGGAGAAATTCAACAAGAACAACAAAGAAAACAATCCGAGACGGGAAAAAAAAACAAGAACAAAGAAGAGATGTTTTAATCAAATAAAAGATATCAGCCACGAGTTTCCTACTCTCACGACCGATCGGGATACATAAATCACCACCCGCAGGATTGACAAAGGAATAAGACCAAAGATGTCACTACCAATAACTCAGGGATACAATTGCCACCACTCAATACAGTAGATACAAACTTGTTCCCATCTGGATATCACAAAGGGAGCAAAGGCTCTCACAGATCAATGAACAAAAAAAAACCAGAATACAATAAACCATCACAAATTTGTAATCAGCAAAAAACTAAACTTAACAAAAGCAAACAAGCAAAATACCCTTGCTGCTATTAGGAGTGGGCGGTGACCCTAACCAAAGAGAGAGAGCCGACCGGCCCTCTCACATATGGAACGAATTGGTCCAGGAGCCCCTCCCCGCCCCGTGTCAATTAATTGGGGATGGTGGTGCTTCGACCTAATATGTTAAAGCTTTTTGAATCCTCATGCTATAATGTCAAGTCGGAGATGTTGAAGGTAGCGGAGCTGCTCTAACCTCCTGGATTGGAGGGCCTTCGACTTCCAACAGTCCTCTCATTGGTGGTATGGAGGTTTGGGAGGTGAGAGAGAGTCTATGGGACTGATTTAGGATGGAGAGAAAATATTTAGGGTTGCTGATTTTGAAAATTAACAAGAGGGAATTAAGGTTAGTTTAAGATTTGGCTATGGTTTGGTGGGTTTAGGTTTGGGAAGTGAAAGAGGATGTACGAGGTTGATTTAGAGTGCAGAAAAACATTAAGGGTTGCTTGGGTAGGTATTGATGGATTTTGATAACTCTAGGATGGAATAAGGGTTAGGCTGACTCTAATAAAAAATGATACCGGAGAAGGGGTTGGAGAAGATTCGGCATGAACAACCAAGAAAGCAATCCAAGACAGAAAAAAAATGAACCAGAACAAAGACAGGATGCACTAATCAAATAAAGGATACAAGATAAAAGACTTTCCAAATCTCACAACCGATCAGGATACAAAAATTACTACCCAAAGGATTGATGACGGAAGAAGACCCAAAGATGCACCAACAATGATGGGATACAGTTGCCAGTAGCCAACACCTTGGATATAAACTTGTTCCCATCCGAGAATCATAAAGAAAGCAAAGACCCTCACAAATCCCAATTGAACAAAAAAATCCCCATAATACAATAAGCAACCACATATTCATAATCAACAAATGACATAAATCTAATAAAGGCAAACAAATGAAAATACCCTTGCCGCTATTAGGAGTGGGCGGCAACCCTAACCCTAGATAGAGAGCCGATCAGCCCTCCCACACTTAGACTGAACATGCCCGGGGGCCCTTCCCCACCCTGCGTTAATAGCAATTTTGAAGATACAGATATTGGTGAAACAAACGGATAAATTTTACCAGCATGAATGTACTGGTAGAAGAAGAACATCTGTCAGGCTTATTAAGAGAATAAAATGATTGGCGTGTTATTAGAAAAGAACACAAACAACGCATTTATTGAGATAACTATAAAGGATTGTGATGCTACAACTTGGTGCAAGTTCACATGCCCTGAATTTGAAGAACGAAAAATAAATACATACTTACAGGCAAGTCTCTCTCCAGAAGCCATACACCTTCAGAGGAATTAAATTTTAAGGGAATTCTCTGCATAAAAAAAGGAACCAGCATTAAGTAGAAGAAAAAATGTATAAAATGTTGTCTATAGTTTATCAATAAATTATTTTTGTGATACTAAAATATGAATTCAAAATAAGTCTAGGAAATGAAAGTATGAAACACGCACAAATTGGAAAGATGAGCTATCCTATTTGGAGTCCCTTAAAATTCTCTTTCATTTGGAACAAACATGGAATAAACGATACAAGTACAGGAATCACAATAGGGTCCAAACGTTGCCATACAGTTCAACTCACTACCAAAAAATTGCCAGGCTTGACAAATTTCTATCTCCATGATTCACCCATTTCCCAAATGGAATCAATATTGACAGTTTGATTATAAGTATTTCACAAATAAAATTACAAGTTAGTGCAAAAAATTTCACCTGGCCCCAACCAATATCAAGACCAGAAATTTCTACAGAGGAGTATTTACCACCTTTCCACGATAATCTGACACGGCCTCTTGATAGACCTGTGAGCTGAAAAAAATATGCAAAGAATAAAACATTTGTCTAACGTAATCAAGAAAGCCTTTCTTAACATGAGTGATTAATATAGTGCAATGTACATAGATTACCCTAACAACAGTTGAAAATGCACGCTGTAACCAAGCATATGCTATTCCATCTTCTGATAGAATTAAAAGGAAGAAACCCAAATACAGACATGGGAGTTCAAGGTTCGGTAAGATCACAACCACTTAAATAACATCTTAAAACTGCAGCAACTAAGAAGTAAACGCTCAATTTTAAGACTAAATCCAACAAATTGTTTGTTCTTAATGGTTCAATTAAATGTTAACCCACTGTGTGTGTGTGTGTGTCTCCATCATGTCATTGATGCACTTATAACATCATTACTATGAAGCTGTGATCAGTTGGTCATTAAACTAATTACACCTTCAACTCTTCAACTATTTTTTCATGCACAGATCGGGCTTAATTTTTTTGCTCCGTTTCCCACTAAACATTTTAGATATTCCTGCGGGTCCTCACACATCGCTCCAACTTTACCACTCAGCATTGATGTCCCTGCCTGAATGGCCTCTCTGTCTCTATCATGTCGGGTGATATCTGAATTGATGTAGCCTTTCCCATCTCTCTTACATTTCTTTGTCCCTCTTCACTAGGATTTTTGTTCCACTCAACTACTATGTCTAACATCTTCAGATTGTTGCACTAATAATATAAAATTCAGCAAGGATTTATTAATTATGTTCATGATTTTATTTTCAAATCAGAAGAAATTCATACTTTCTTATTTATGCATTATAACTTTAATTTTTAATACAAAAATCATATTAATGTTATAACTTTAGAATAATCTACTCCAAAGAGTTGTAATACAAGTGGAGATAGAAATGGTCACCTATTGTACTGATATTTTGAAATATTATAGTTAAGAAAAGATAATTTTGGGAATCATCATGAGGAAGATAGATGAATAAGAAATACGCCCCAGGATGAAAAGAAGAGGGAGAAATATAAAAAGTTATCATAAATAGTTGAGGAATCCTACCATAAATCCTATAAAATAGTAACAAAAAAAAAATCTTTGTATGCTTGAAAATCTTCATGGGTCTTATATATTTAAGAGAAATAATCAAACTAATTACCTTTTATTCTAGAGAAATGTTAGTATCTCAGGAGTAGCTTGATTACTCATTGGCATATCAATTGTATTCTTTTTCTACAATACCTTTGTGATGCGCACCAGGTGACAGTTTTTTTCGGCAGGGTGAGTGACATGTTTGGACTTTGGACGCATGTACCAAGTGAGAATGTTTCCAAGAAAAGACAATAATTTTACTTTTAAAAATGTTTCTAAAAAACACAATGAGAGGGAAAGATCTAGAAAACCTGACATGCATGTGAAATAAGATATCCATAGTGTGGGGCTTATCATAGAAATATGAGAATGTGACATACAACTATGGCTGGTAGGACAATGCAACTGTTTATTGTTGTGGTATATTTGAAATTTAAATCGATCGACGAAGAAGTGAATAAAATAGCACGAGAAAAATCACACAAAAAAAAAACACACAGATTTATGTGGTTCGGCAAATTGCCTACATCCACGGAGTTGCAGAGAATTTTACTAATTGAGGAAATTCACACCAGTTTGATCACAACGACAATTAAGGATCTATCACTTGCTCTTTCTCTTTACATCAAGATTCACCCAAGAGCAAGAACATCAAAGAAGAAGAAAAATACATAAGAGAAAACCTGTTTCTCTTCACCTGTTTCCCTTCTGCCACAAATCACCAAGAAGAACACTTTATTCTTCACTATCTTCTTCTTCCTTCTCCTGCTTCCGTAAGTCTCAAGAAGAATCAAAGGAGAAATCTCCTTTCTGACTTCACCGCAAGAAAGAACTCCTTCCTGTCTTCAACACAAGCAAGAAATTCTTCCTTCCTGTCTTCAACGCAAATCCTTCCTCTGCCCATGACTTCTCTCTAACTGAAAGGAAAGCCGTGCGATACCTTTTATCGCCAACAGGAAGCGGGAACGATTTCGCAATCAAGCAGGAGCGGGAGGAGTCGCGACCTTTCGCAACAAAGGAGTAACGGGCAAAGTGACGCAAAGCTTCGGGCGCGCGAGAGCAGGAGGCGCCAATTCGCGACAATGAAGGAAGCGGGAGCGGGAGATCGCGATTCGCGATCGCAGGAGCGGAAGAGGAGGGTCGTACCGGGCTCCACTTCTAACACAACTCGCACTTGGAGGCCGGGACACAGACTAC